CGTTACATGGTGCAAAGATAGTTTTTAACCGACTAATTTTAAAATGCCCATTTGAATATGTTTTTCTTGAAAAAAAATTTCTTTGGCTTATCAGGCTTTTACCAAAACTATTTCAACGTTGTTGAAACACTTAATACCTTTAATTCAATAAAAAGTTTGTCAGATTGGTAAGCTATTTTAAAAACTAAATAAACCTAACTCACTCACTTCTGAGTGGGTTTAGATTTATCTAGTTTTTCATGACTGATACTTGGACTAGTCTTATTTGAAAGACATCTTCCATTGTCTGGTTCGCTACCTGGATGGCTGAGCTGGCCAGCTTCTGCTCCTTCCCAGGTGTGTTAGCTGGAAACTGGGTCAGGAGGAAAGTGTCTGGAACCTGAACCAGGATTCTGGTGCCACAGGCGGCAGCTTTGTCCACCTGCTATGCCCCCACACCGAATGCTGTGAGCAGCCGAGCACCGGGGCGGTGACCTAATTAGGCTTTCTCATTTGGCGTCCCATCCTTCCCCGTTGCGGCTCTCTCATCACTTTGGGCGTTGAGCCTGTACCACAGGAATGCAGAAGGTATGGAGAGACTTCAGAAAACTTTGTGGGAAGTATAATTAAAACATTTATTTTTAAACAATTTTCAAGTAAAACAAGAGGGAAAGACAGGAAGTAGTAAGGTTATTTTCATGGAAAACGTGTATGAGAAATTATGCATTTTCTTAAAAAATCTGAATTGTATCGCTTTCCTGCAAGCTTTCTGAAGTGCTCAGGCATAACGTGCTACAACAGTCTGAGCCTTGGGTGGCTTGGTTGCTTTTTCAGATAATTCTTACAAGACTAACTCTTCTTCCTTCCTGCTGTCTTTCAGGACCCAGCCACATGTCATTCTACGTGCGCGCTCACAAGGGGTCCACCCTCTCGCAGTGGTCTCTGGGCAATGGCACCCCGGTCACAAGTAAAGGGGGGGGACTACTTTGTCTTCTACTCCCACGGACTCCAGGCTTCCGCGTGGCAGTTCTGGATAGAAGTGCAGGTGGGAATTTTCTTGGCCAGGCTCCCAGGTGGCCCTAGCGAGCATCCACGGGTTTTGCTGTTGGCGTGCTAAGAGAGCTGCCCGTTTCTCTCCTGGCAGGGCTCGGCGGACCAGTCTGAAGGCATGGTCACTGTGGCCATCGCCGCCCACTATCTCTCCGGGGAGGACAAGAGATCGCCAGCACTGGACGCCCTGAAGGAGAAGTTTCCAGACTGGGCGTTCCCCTCCGCCTGGGTGTGCACCTACAGTGTCTATGTGTTTTGATCTTGTGACTGAGCGTGAAGCATGTGGCCAGTGGATAATTCCTGTGACACAGTCTCTCCCTGGGTCACGTGGATGTTTGTAACTCAAGTCACTGAATTTTAATGGAGAAATGTTGGAAGAACTTCGGTTAGCACTTTTCAGGGCCCAACACTGCAATGGTTAAGCTGTGGGACATACATGGCCTGCTGACACTTGACACTGCCAGTCCTCTGGCACTTAAGCACAAGCGGGCATCGCCACTGTCATTCTGTGACCTTCAGGACAGAAGCCCATGACCACTGCAGTAGCCACTCCTCCAGGATCAAGGACATAAACTGAGGCCATCCTTAAGGAGACAGAAGTCCTAGCCAGCCCGCGTGCTGCCTCAGGGGAAGCAGCTCTCGAGGTCTAACTGGGGGGCCCTGGGAAGGGACAGTCCTGCAGATGGGACACTGGGCCACGCAGTGGACTTTAGGCCCCAGCCTGTGCTGAGCCACCTGGCCCCGAGGGGAGCAGGCTGGGGTCACCACAAGTTGACAAGGGGTCCCCGAAACGGACTCTTTCCCTCTGAAATGTGCTCCACTTCCCTAGGGATTCTTGCAGACTTTTTAGGTTCCAAATTATTTTCTGTGCAAGTCCTTAACTTCCTCAGCACTGACCTGCCGCTCTGGTTACCATGGGGTAGAGCAGAGTGGAAGGGGGAAGGTGGGGATTTTATAAGTATTATTTTTTTTCTCATGGGAGTCTTCTATTTTACAAGGTTAATCCTTTAGGACATGATGTCCTGGCTGAATTGGGGCCTTTTGTTCTCAACCGTGCCCAGTGCTTGTGTCGTCACTGACTGGGAAGATGGGCATGCGACACACGCTGATCTGGGCTCTAGCTATGACGTCAGTGGTAAACTGCTGAGCTTTCTGGATAAATTCTATGAAACGACAGGCCAGGAGATAGGTGAGAAAAAAGGCACAGCCAAAAGGGGGAAAACAAAGTTGGCATCTCCTGGGAGTCCAGGCATTGCAGCGCGCCCTCAGGGCGCCAGGGGCAAGGGCGCAGGGCCGGGATGTGCTCGCTGGAGCCTGGGCTGCGGCAGTCACTGTCTGGTAGACAGGCTGTGCTGTTTCAGGTGTTTCAGGTGTCTGGCTTGTGCTCCTCTCCTGCCGGGTCTTGTTTGTAACCGTTAGCACAGTTGAGGGCTTAGACTCACACTTGTAAGGGAAAGGAAAGAGACCAATGAATTTGCAGACAGGCACACTGCCCCGTGGCTAACATAATCACTAGAAATTAGTACGTAGGAAAGCCACCCCCCATCTCACCTTGAGGACCTTCTGTGAGAGCTGCTGCCTGCGTGGCCTCCTTGGGAAAGGATGCTGGGACTCCTCAGCAGGGGTCACGGCTGTCCTCGGGGGTACTTTCCTCCTCAGCATTATGGTAGTTTTGATGCTGTATAGTCAGTAACAAGCTGCTAAGCAGTCTCAGGGCTTGTTAATACACTGGCCAGTTGTCTTTAGCGCCCGAAACAGGTCGTCATAATCAGCATAGCGTTACTGCACCATTAGGAAGCACACCATCGGAACATCGGAACACCTTCCCCGAGGGTCTTGCCCAGCTCTAACTAATGCATTATTTTCTACAGAGTTAAATACAAGTAGCACAGTACACTTTCAGGGAAAATATGAAGAATTATGATTTAAGTGCTTTTTCCTTCTGTTGAGCTAAGAATGACTGTCGCATGGAGTGCTTCCACAGTTAGCCAGGATGCCTCCAGCCGTCCCCGCCTCGGGAAGCTGGAGGGAAGCAGACTGTCTGATCCTGGTTTGCTGCCTTGTTGAAGATTTATTGTTGCCTTACAATGTTACTGAAATAAACTTTTTACCATAAATGATTGCTCTCTCTAATGAATTAAGCAGTTAACTTGTAATGCAGAAACATGCCATACCATTTCCTGGCCACAGGGTGGCTAGCATCCCAAACCAGCCAAAGTGACACATGTTCTCTGCCTCCATCACTTTCACTACAAACTGAAGTGGTGGTACCCTTCCAGAGAAGTTGACCATATTTATACATCTTAAAGAACTTCCTTTTCAACAGTGACCACCCCCCACAGAGCGTGCCTTGGAGGTGAAGCAGCTCTTCGTGGCGGACTGTAACCACAAGTATTTATGTATCTCTTTGAAACTACCGCCTTCACATTTGATTTTCAAAAATGTAACCTGTAATTTCTGCTCAGTTGCACTCTGCAGTGACGCAGTGGGGCTTACCCCAGAGGTCGTTGATTTAATGCAAAACAGTAAGGTAGTACACTCAGTAATACAGAATAGAAGCAGGGGAGCGTCTTAACAGACGAGTAAACGCTCTCCAAAAATCCTATGAGAAACCTCAAGCTAATACGGTACTCAGCAAGCCGGCAGCTCCCCTAAAGAGCAAGAAGACACGAGGCGCGGCTGTGTCTCAACTAATGGCTCCATCTAGCTGGGGAATTTGCCAAGTTCAAAGGGACAGGATGGATCTTGGTTGAAATAAAACACAGCCTCAAATGTATGGCATTTTCCATCAACTCCTGCAAAGCTACAGCCATTAAGCCCGCCTGGTACTGATCTAAGGACAGCCTATGCAACGTTACACAACAAAGTACAATTAAGCAAATCCAGCGCCTGGCGTGATGGCGCAGTGGTTAAGGTCCTCGCCTTGCACGCCCGGGATCCCATATGGGCACTGGTTCGAATCCCGGCAGCTCCTGCTTCCCATCCAGCTTCCTGCCTGTGGCCCAGGAAAGCAGTCAAGGACGGCCCAAAGCTTTGGGACCCTGCACCCTGTGGGAGACCCGGAAGAGGCTCCTGGCTTCCGTGCTCACTTCGGGAGTGAGAAGATCTTCCTCGCTGTCTCTCCACCTTTCCAAAAAAAATAAAGCTTAAAAAAAAAGAAGTAAATCCAGCGCCTGGCGTGATGGCGCAGTGGTTCCCAGATGGGCGCCGGTTCTAATCCCGGCAGCTCCTGCTTCCCATCCAGTTCCCTGCCTGTGTCCGGGAAAGCAGTTGAGCACGGCCCAGGGCTTTGGGACCCTGCACCCGCGTGGGAGACCTGGAAGAGGCTTCTGGCTTTGACTGTTGTGCTCACTTGGGGGGTGGGTGGGGGGAACATACGTCACTTGGGGGGTGGGTGGGTGGGGGGAGCATACATCTTAAACCTGAGACACCGGCCTTGGGTAACAGGTCTGTGTGGAGGTTAGGACATGGGATACCCTTCTCCTGTGTGTCAGTGAAAGAGCCTCCTAGGCTTCGGTCCCCACTTGGGGGAGTGAGTCCTTTCTCTGTCTCTCCTTCTTTTTCTTTGTCTCTCCTTCTTTTTCTTTGTCTCTCCTTTTTCTTTCTCTGTCTCTCCTTCTTTGTCTCGTCTCTCCTTCTGTCTCTCCACCTTTCCAATCAAAATAAAGCTTTAAAAAAAAGAAGCAAATCCAGCACCCGGCATGATGGCACAGTGGTTAAGGTACTCACCTTGCACGCCCGGGATGGCCGGTTCTAATCCCGGCAGCTCCAGCTCCCTGCTTGTGGCCCGGGAAAGCAGTTAACATTTAACATTGCCAACTCTGATTCTCCCATTACATATCTACATAGAATAAGAATTTTAAATCTCTGAATTTTGAGTTGCAACATAAGGAAAATTTAAAAAGGTAAAATTACAAAAAGTGGCTTTCAATACATATTTTTGCTGTTGCCTGATAACAAATAAACAGAAGTTTGTGCAATCATTTTTATTGCCCTTATTAAAAAAAATACAAATTACAGAAGTAGCAACAAATTTAATTACAAGCAAATGTTGACTCTCCCCTTAGATGATTTCTTTTGGTATCAACAAATAATTTACATGAATGCACTAAAATTCAAATAGTTATAGTAATATTTAAGTTCCTTGGTTAAAATGATGGCTTAAAACAATGGATGTGAACCAAACAACATGGTAAAAATGAGTTTTTCAAAGAATTCAAAGTATCTAATAAATAGAACATGTAAACTTACCAATTTTCTTCCCTTGTGGCCTATTTATTAGTTGAAAGCCAACATTTCACAGAGGAAGGGACTCGCTCACGGCCTCCACCGCAGGAGTCACCCTGCGGGCGCTGCTCGCAGGGTGACCTCGGCGGCAGCATGGTGTGAGCTAGCCAGCTGTGTGCAGCTGTTACTAAATGAGTATCTGCAGCAAACGACAGTGATGCTGGGTCCCTCTGACGGACCGGGGCAGGAGAAGAGAGGTCAGTTTATTTTCTGGCTGGGCTGCCTGGACTCATTCAGGAAACACTGACCTTCCAGCCATTCAGGGAAAGGTGGTTTGAAGCTGACTTAAGTAACAGTAGCACCAGAAGGACCAGGTACCAATAAGACCATATTTGATCCATTAGGAGTTTTATGGTGTGAAATTATTGCACTTCTAATGTAAAAAGTAAATGACAGTCAATTCCCCCAAATCAGTAATTTTGAAGAGTTTGATGAATTATGAACCAAACAATTCAAGATAGTTTCAATTCCCTTCAAAGGAAACGGGCTAAGAACTGAATCCGGGTATTTCCTTTCCAGGGCAGCGAGAGGACCAGACCTTGTTTCTGAACTGGAATTGCACTGTGAGAAGAGGCTTTTTTTTTTTAAACATAGTGGTACGAATTTGGTCCATATCAAATATGTTGTTACAAAAATAAGTTTTTGTAAAAAATAACATTGCATTCCTTGTTCAAATTGCACAGTACAAACAAGCTATCTAAATTAATACTGTTATAAGGTAATTAGATACAGTGGAGGATATGTGACTAGTATGAACCAATTATGAAATATGCAGTTTTCACAACATGAAAACAAATTTGTCATCTACAAATACATAAAATACTTTAAAGTTTACAATGAAGGATGCATTCTTTACCGACTAATTTTTAGTAGCCGTGATAAGGTTCAGCAGTCTATTTACATAAAAGTCCATTTTATTCAATTTACAAAATCAATAAATAGTAAACTATGTTAATTTGCACAAAAATCTGTTCCATTTCATGATCAGTGTGAGCATTTTGTTATGACCAGCTGAGCCAATAAGGAGTCTGTCTTTATGAAGACCGCTCTTTTTGGGAAAGAAAAACAAGCCCTGTTGCTATAATTCTCTAAGTATTTATAGGCATGCGGAATCCAGCATAAAACCTTACAAATTATAATACAAGTGCTAAAAATATGAGTAGTGTCTTTGGATTTATTTACACCAAGAGTATTCACAAAAAGGTACAATTTTTTGATACAAAACAGTTTAGTGGCATCTACCAGCAGAATTGGTGAGAATTCCTCAGCCTGTGCCCACACTGATCTAGGAGGAACAAAGCTCGCTCCAGCGGGCACCCTCGCTCCGTGTGGACAGCCTGCACGGATAGGACTGGGGTCTGACGGGCTGCCAACGGCAAAGGAGAACGGCTCACGCTGACACGGGCAGGGGAGCTGCCAAGCCGGGCATGGAGAACGGAACCGGAGAAGGTTTGTTTTGGTGCAGACACCCTTGGCGTTCACGTGTTATGACACTCAGTTTCCACGGCTTTTGGAGGCCCCCGCGGCACCAAAACCAACATCCCGGAACTCCACTTTCCACGGCCCTCGTGCGCGTCCCCGTGCTGTGCCAAGGCAGGCATCTGTTCGGGAGGGCCAAGCAGGGAGTGTAGTGAGCTCGGACCCGGTCAAGCACCTTAGCACACACAGTCAACCAGGGAAAAGCGCGAGAAGCTCTAAGCAGTCAAAAGCTCACCGGGGCCAAGCACTCCCTTAAGAGCTACCAGCCTGTGAATAAAGCCCAAATCTGCTAAGGTACGTATGTACAGCATGTTGTATTTCTCCTGCAGCTTAAGAAATTTTTTATGAAAGATGCTTTATTTGATATCACATTTTTATGGAGTCGGAGATTTCTTACTTAAAATCTAATAATACTTTACGAAAGAGACTCTGAGCCCCTGCGTTCTCTTCCCCTTTAAGTCATCCGTCAGCAACTAGGACACAGTGGACTCAGCTGCTGCTAATATTGCTTGTCACACGTCGCCTCACGGTCAGGACACAGAGCAGTCGTAAGTCCCATCCGGAAAGGGCTCCTCCTGCTCTGCCCGAGCCGTGTCGTCCTCCTGGCGGCTGGCTGCACTGGTCCCCGCCGCCTCGCCCTGCAGGACGGCTCCGTGGCTGCAGGATCCCCTGCGCTCCTCGGTCCGGGGACTGGCCTGCTCCGTGGTCTTGCCTGTGGTTACTGGCTGGAAGGCGTCAGGCTCAACTTGCTCTTCCGTCATCTCACTGAGCTTCTGCAGTTGAGGCTTAATCATGTTTAAAAATGGCTTATATCCAGGGCTAAGCAGAGGGGGAGAGAAAAGCAGCTCTCATCTTCCAAATTCACAAGCCTTGGTACAGTGTTAGATCAACATCTAAGCGCGGACAGTAAAGGCAGCAGCAGGCTGTGGGAGAAGGCAGGCTGCCGAGTGGCCTGCTCAGTGCCCTGGGACTGCCACACATGGGGCCACGACTCCAGGATCTGAGCATTAGAAGCAAACACTGACATTTTAACATCAAACACATGTGGCAACTGAAGAGAATGAGGTCCATGTAAGGGAAATCCTGACGCAGAAACCCACAGCCCGCTGACAGCAGCGGGGCTGGGCTGGACCACGAGGCTTCTCCAGTCCCGTCAAGCACTCAAAATGTGAGCTTGCTAGCAGCCACCATGAAATGCTAACTTCAGACAGATTTTTTCATCTTTTCAAGCCGACCTTTTCTTCAATTCCATAGAACTATAAGCCTTAAGTTCGAGACTAATTCTAAGATGATCTGCTGTGCGGCAGCCCCAGCCTAGTGATGTCTTTTCATATTGCAATGTATAAACTCAACTTCACTAAAGAGACATTAATCATTCAAGTAGCTGGGTCAGGAATGACTAAAGTAAAAATTAATATATGGGAGTATTTTTATTTCTAGTTAACTTAAAACTATCAAACTTGAACAACATAACTAAACCAGCTGAACCACAACTAAGCTGTGAGGAGAAGGGACAGATCCACCGAGGGCTAAGGGGCCCAGGGAGACCACACTTACCAATCCGTAGAGGCCCACTGGTCCACAGCACGGAGCCCCGTCTTAATGTTCTGTAACATCTCTCCATCCACCTCTGAAGACTGTATAATAGCCAGAATCTGGTTGATTACTGAGGATTCTCTCAGAATCAGGCCAATGACAATGCACCAGTCCAAACATCCGGCCTCCATGAAAATATGCAGGAAGTACCTAGAGCGGAAACACCAGGGTTGGGACTGGGAAGAAGCGAAGCTTGCATGGGGCGGCAGTGATCAGAAGGCAGCGGTCCCTCTAAGCCATCTCTACGAACTCCCCGAGTCGAGACTGAGCTTGAAGATCTGAGGGACTCACCGAAGCTGGACCTGGGATTTATGAGGGCCTTTGCTTGCCAGCTCCATGGAGATGTGCTCCAGCTCGGACGGAGTCAGACTGAGCGTGGAGAAATTCTCCTCGACCACCGTCCAGTCCCCATCCACCATGGAGCTGCTCTCAGTCAAATCCGTGGCTGAACCAATACTGCATTCGTCACCTGATGAAGAATCAGCAAATCACAAACCAGGTTCATGTGGAACACACTATGTATGAATTTTGCCTAAATATTTACTTATTTATTTCAAAGAGTTACAGAGGACAGACAGATCTTCCATCGGCTGGTTCGCTCTCTAAGATGGCCACAATGACAAGCGCTGGGCTAGCACAAAGTCAGGAACTTGAGCCAAGTCTTCCTGGTGGGTGGCTGGTGCACAAACGCCTCGCCATGTCCCGCTGCTTTCCCAGCCACTGGCAGGGAGTTCAACAGAGGTGGAACAGCCAGCACCAACTGGGGCCCACAGGTGATATACAGAGTAGCTTTATCTTCTATGCCACAATGCTTACCCCTCCTTTAATTTTAACTTTGAGCTGTTTTTGCAGATGTTAGCTTTACAATTTTGAACCAAAAAACACTGGATTCACTGCTGAGCTTGTGCCATTCACAGCAGTAGATGCTTGAGAAGAAGGTCGCTGGAGTCGACCAGACAGTACGTGCCTTCAGTGTCACAGTGACCATGAGCGGACAGTGTTCTGTCTCCCACAAACAAGCTTTGATCAAGTCCTTAGATTCAGCTAAATTACAGCAAATACAGAGGAAACTGCTTAAAAACTAAGCACTTAGAAGCAATCAATAAAACTACCATGAGAAAAGATCCCCAGACACAAGTTTCTTCAATGAATGTTCTATAAGAGGTGGGGGAAGAGAAGGGTACACTCAAGAACAGATTTAAAAATGTGAATGCAATGTGTGAGCCTGATTCGGGTCTTGACTCATACTATTACAAAACCGTGACATTTGGGTGTTGGTTCAGTTGGCTAATCTCCCCTGTCAAGTGCCAGGATCCCATGTGGGCACTGGTTCACGGTCCCGACGCCCCAGGGCCCGAGATGTACATCAGCGTGGGAGGCTAGAAGACTCCTGCCTGGGGATCAGCTCAGCTCCAGTGACACGGCCGTCTGGGGACTGAACGCTGGATGGAAGACCTTTCTCTCCTCTCTGGAAATCTACCTCCCCAACAAAAAGAAATCTTTTTTTTTTTTTTTTAAGATTTATTTATTTATTGGAAAGTCAGATATACAGAGAGGAGGAGAGACAGAGAGGAAGATCTTCTGTCCGATGATCCACTCCCCAAGTGAGCACAATGGCTGATGCTATGCCGATCCGAAGCCAGGATCCAGAAACTTCTTCCAGGTCTCCCACACGTGTGCAGGGTCCCAAGGCTCTCGGCTGTCCTCGACTGCTTTCCCAGGCCACAAGCAGGGAGCTGGATGGGAAGTGGAGCTGCCGGGATTAGAACCAGTGCCCGTATGGGATCCCAGCGTGTTCAAGGCAAGGACTTTAGCCACTAGGCCACGCCGCCGGGCCCCAACAAAAAGAAATCTTAAGAGAAAATCAGGACCTTTGAGAAACAAGCGGATGGAAGACTGACCTGTCTCCTCTCTGTAAGTGTCAAATAAAAATAAAATAAATCTTAATAAAAAAGTGTTCTTGTAGGCTAGCTATTTACAGATAAATTATGTGTACTGAATCAGGATGAATTTGTCACAAGTTGTAACAACAGAAGCTGGGTAACGGGGGAATGGCTCGCTGTTTTTCTAAATGTCTGAAATCCTCTTTCACAAAGTGTCCTAAAAGTAGCTGACCACTTCACACCCCTTAGCAGGACTAGTCCAAAAAACAACAAACCCATACACTGGCAGGAATGTAAAAGTGGTAACGCTGCAGGGAAGGGTACGGGGATTCCTCACAAAGTGACAAGAACTGCCGCTGGACTCTGACGCCTGCTCCACAGTTACTGAAAGCCGACTTCTGAGAGAGCGTCGTGCCTCAGTGTTTGTACCGGCATCCCCCCAGAGACAGCCCAGATGCCCCTTGCCAGCCGCGTGGGCAAACGGGCGCAGTGTCCACGCAGTGGCTGGAGTGGCATTCCGCCTCAGAGGAAGCAAATGACGACATCATCCGAAGAAGAACAAGCCGTCCCAAAGACAACTTCTAGAAGGTTCCTAGTCGGGTACTTCATCAGACCAGGGAGGTCGGGCAAGAACGTGGATGTAAATAAAGCTACTAAACTGTTTAAAATGGTTAAGACAATGTTTTTATTCTAATGAGAAAAAAAATTTCTACAAATTTTTAATGGGTAACTGATAATGGAGTCGAACTATTTTCATCCTGGTCTGCGGTAAGAATTCTCCATGTATGAATAGCATTTTATCTACTTGGGCTCAAATTGATGGCAGAGTCATCTATTGGTGTTGATCTATAATGACATTTAAATGATTTCATTTCTCTAAGATAAACAGATCCAGTGTAGGCAGAGCCAACATGCCCGTCCTCTAGTACGCTAACTTGGCCTTGCCTCATCTTTGGACCTGCAGGCAGAGTGGAGTTCTACTCAGCAGAGCTACAGCACATGCCTTACTTTGAAAGGAACTAAAGAGGAGCTTGAAGTGATGGTTACCTTTATTGGATAAGGGTGACAGGAAGGCATCTTGCATTTGCGGCCCGTGGGATGAGGCTGTGTCCAGCTCAGGATGGCTGGGGCCGACACTGCCCAGCCAGCTCTGACTTCGCTGCATGGCAGAGATGCCAGCCTCCACGTCCAGGTTTGGAAACGGTTCAGCCGACTGAGACTTGAACAGCTGCTCTCCCACTGCAGTGAAGTTGCAAAAACAAGACAAAACACAAATGGAAAAGAAATTCAAGATGTACCTGTGGAAATTTCCAGTTTAGCTGTTGAGTCTCTCCCATTTGGCCAGCCAATGCTAATACTCAGATAATTATCCTCCTTCACCCTGAAGCCAGGAACTTAGGCTTCTACCAAAATGAACCTCACTGTAAAATCTCATCTAACAGTATCCTCATTATCTCTGAACTGGAAAGAAACAAAACTTTTATTCTGTCAGTCTTCTAAGTGGTTAGCCTTGGGCTCTAGGATGCTATCAAGTTTCCAGATGGCTTATTAAAACTTTTTGTTTAAATTTCTCATAGAAAGTAGAACAGTTTTTTTAAGATTCAAAAGGAAAAAGCAATTTTTTCTTTTGCGTGAATATACAGCTTCATTTCTCTCCTCTCCTACCAGACGCTGAGGTCGTCAGAGATGCATTTTTGTTATTTTTAACGACCAGTAAAAATCACAATTTAGCTCATCGCGAGGTCACAATCGCCTAGCTCCAAAGCTCCTCTCCACAATTATGGCAGATTTTTTAAGTTCAGTCAGTCCTCAACTTGCTTATGATGTAGAATAACAAAGGTTAGGATTATGAATTAGATTTCAAAGAGTTGGGGGCATAAGCTCTTCGCAGAATGTTGCAAATAACACACAAAGAGTTGGCTTTGAGTTTGACCGAAGTATCGAGTAAGACTTCCCTGACTCTAACAGCAACATGTCAAGATGGGTGGAGTACAACGCAGATTTCCTCGTGCTATTACCTGTTCGGAATTTCCCACTTTTGAAAGGAGAACTGATGGAAGAGGCTGGGATGATGGGGAACGGCCACAGGAAGTCTTTGTGCAGTCTCTTCAGGGCCACCACAAAGTTATCGACCCGAGCAGCTCGCGTACGCTCCTTGCACAGCCAAGCGATGAGCTCAAAGCCCAGCTGCGCGGTGAAGCAGCCCAGGTCCTTGAGCCACACGTCCTCTAAGAGGCGCCGGGCGTGTCTCCAGAGCATCATGTCGATGTACATGTTCTCAGCACAGTCGCTGTCTTTACTCCATCTGTAAGTATGAACACAGAGACACTCCAGAACGGTTCCAACCGGCGGGCTGCGCCTAGCTTCCTGCAGTAACACTGGTACGTCTGAGAGAGATGGCCTCAAAGGGCTGGCCCTGCACAACTTCATGAGCACAGAACACTGGGGGCTCTACAGAGTGACTACACGGAAGAGGGGAAAATTGCGACAAAAGAAGCTGGGCCAGGAAGACAGAGATGAATAGCTGAAGAAAGAAAGAGTATGAAGGAATGGGTATCTCAAAGGATGAATGAAAGGAGGGAAGGAAATCAGATTCAAGAAACCAAGCATAGCATACAGGCCCTGGTGTGAGTGAACCAGCAGGTGCCAGATCTGCTTCTCCCTTCTTCTGTAAATCTGCCTTTGCAACAAATAAGTCCTGAAATAAAAGGAAGGGAGGAAGGAAGCAGAATGGAATCCCTCAACATGGGTTATATACATGTGGGAAAAGAAAACTGATTCTTTCAAATGGCTGGACTGCCTCGAGCCCAGCATCCCTCATGTGCATGGCCCGAGATGGCAGCACTGCCTCACTGGGGCCCGTGAGGCAGAGGAGCTCAGGAGAAGAGCCTTGTCTCTGGATAGATCTGTCTGCACTGGGAAACCGACGGCCGCTCGCCACTTGTATGGATGTTCCCGTTGCCTCTTATATTTCTTCACCCGGGAAATGTGCAGCATCGGGGGGCATTGAGTCAGCTCGGCCCCAATGCCTGGGCCCCTAGCCCCAGTCACTGCTCCCAAGTAGTGTGTGAATTCAGGGCTTGCTGGTGGCCACAGCGCCAACCGGTGCCAGGCTTCGCACGCTGGCTGCGCCGCAGCAAGCTCTGGGCCCTTGAAGGGGCGAAATGACTGCCCAGGGATATCACTGGATAAGGCCACTGTACTGCAGGTAAGCAAAGGGACTGAGATCTCGTGGTGTGGAGGGGAGAGACTGGAAGGTGTTCATGGGTCAGGCTGACACACTGGCCCACGTGAGTCCTGAGCAGGGCTTGTTAGCTTGGAACTTTGCTGACCACCACGTGCCAGTCCATGTGAAAGCTAGGGCTGGGGGACCGTGTAGCAGGGCTAGATCTCAGTACCAGACTGAATGTCAAAACAGGGGATGGGTCACATTAAGCAAGGTCAAAGACACTAACCAGCAAATGAGAGAACCAGGGCTAGGGGAAATACAAGTTCCCCAGGTTAGCTTATGAGCTGGGGTGATGATAGCCTGAGCTAGGTGTGACCAGGGAACCTGCCAACACTCATGGGTACAGGAACCAAGATTAGTCAGGGCAGGTCCAGGCTGCAGCACCCACATGTGCATCCTGGAACTGGGTGTGGGCAGTGGGCCAGGCACAACACTCATCAGCTCATAAAAGGACGGGGGTGTGGGGTGCAGGCTATGGTGGGCGAGGGCCTGACACCTGCTGGCATGCCTGAGATCTGGGTCTGGGAGTGGGCTGAGTAGGCGAATGTGGGAAACTCCCCTAGCGGGTCACAGCTCTCACTGGTGGACATGTGGTCCAGGACTGGGGGTCAGTTAGCTGGGCAAGGTAGCTCCAACTGTTGGCAAATGTGTGGGCTGGTTTTGGAAGGGGGTGGACCTGACAGGGCCAAGCAAACCTTACCTCACTGGCAAGTGCAGAAACCAGGTTGAAGCACAGGTTATGCCAGGCTAGGCTGTCACACCTACTTGCATGAGCTGGGGATGGGAGCAGACTGAGCAGGATCAGGTCCCAACACCTGCCAGCGAGAATTGGGACTGGAGGCAGGCTGGCTTAGGCCAGCCTGCAGCACCCAAGGACAAAGGCCAAGACAGATGAGGGGCTATGCTAAGCTGGGTCAGAGCAACCACTGGCACGCACAAGATCTGTGGCTGGGAACAGGCCTGGCTGGGGAACAGAGGGGATGCCCTGGCTGTGGTTCCCACTGGTGAATATGAAGGACAGAGTGGGGCTGCGTTCCGGTCTGGACATGGCTGCAGTGTCCCTTGGCCTGAGTGTGGACTAGGTCTGGGTATACCAAGCTGGGCTAGACTGCAGCACCCTCTGGTGCGCATGAGAACCAGGGTAGATGCAGGACAGGCTAGGCTGGGTCACTGCCCCTGCCGAACCATGCATGAACTATGACTTGGTGTGGACCAAGCTTGGCTAGGCTGTTAACACCAACAGTGAAAACCAGGACAGGTGAAAGTCAGTCAAGAAAGGCCACTGTTCCTGCTAGGGCAGGAGATGGACTGAGTAGGACCGGCCATGGACCCACCGGCGTGTTTGAGATCTGGCACTGAGAATCTGGCTGAGAATACACTATTGCCTTGTAATTGTTTATCTCCTTCCATGGCCGCACTTGCACATGATGTAGGACACGGGGGTGTGTGCACGCACGTGTGTGTGATGGTGGATGCTGGTGTGATGTGTGACTGCTTTCTCTTCCCACCAGCTGTTGTGTTAACGGTGGTGAGAGAAAGCAATCAAACACCACAATAAAAAATACTCAACAGAATACAGTTGCTTGGCTCAGCCGCTCACTGTCGGAGGACCTCAGCCCTGCGCTCACAGAGTCAGAGTGCTTTACCGTCAGGAGAGGTTAGAACTACTGCCTTCAGCGAGGCTTCTGCAATACCTGCAAATTTCTCTCTCTCTTCCTTTTAATTCAGAGGTAATCCATGGTTAGTTACAGCAGGTGTATCAAAATTGATCTCAGCAACAACAGAAAGTATGGGAGTGAACGCAAAAGCAAAGGAGAGCGTGCATGGCCCTCCCGGGAGGAAAGCAGCTGCAAATGGGTCGTAGCTATTTGCACAAGATCCAACTTATAAACGGCCTGCAGTGCGTGTGTCCCGGATGCACTAAAGAAACAGCAACAACTTTTTGTTTTACCTCTTTCCAGAAGGGCCGGATGGCATACTTAGTGTCTTCTGTAAGCTGAATTTACTAGGTGCGGCATTTTCAGCTGACTGCGATAAACTGATGCTCCGGTTCCTGAAGAACTCAAATCCGCCACTAGAGCTGGGTTCCTAAGGTTACACACACCGTGCAGGAAGTCAGGGAAAGGTGTCACGGGGCGCGGGACGCAGAGAACCCACGAGGCTGTGCGACTGACCTGAGCTGTGGGGGTGGGAGGAGGTGTCTCGGACTCTCCAGAGCCGATGGCTTTAAGGAATCGGATCATATGCCGACACAGGTCCCACTTGCCTTGTTCCAGAGCTGTGTTGAACAGGAGGGTGGCATGCTGCCTGCTGACTGCGGGGACTTCCATGTTCTAGAAACAACCAAGGGAGAGAGCACTCCTTTTACTCAGCGCATCACTGGGGAGGCTAATGACCAGTTTTCACTTCTAGGGTTTCCTAAGGTCAGGGCCTGCACGTGCCGCGCTGCGGACGCTGGCTGAGAGAGAAGACTGAGGGAGCAGGAGTCACCGAGGAGAAATGCAGCCAGCACCCGCTAGCAGGATTAAACCAGCCGGCTCTCACTAACTGCTGTCGACTTCCAACACTGGAGTGTCAACAGGATGTTGCATTCAGTGCAACCCTGCAAGTTACCTGCAAGATGATAAGGTACGAGGCGGCCGTCTCCAAATCCTGGGCCATCAAACACTCTTCAAACAAGTCCTTGGGGTTCCCGACGGCTGCAAAAAGGTAATTCCACAGGGCATACTCGGTCTTCCTGGCGCAGTGCACCACCGTCTGCAGGAAGAGCGGGAACTCGGTGATGAATTTGGCCACGGTGGGGAGCAGGGGGTCGGGGATGGGCTCCCGTGAGGTAGCTTCTTCTTCCAGCACTTCGTGCAGCATGAGCTCGAGCACGTGCGGGAAGTAGGGCAGCGTGGCGCAGGACTGGGCCAGGAGCAAGGCCTGCTCCCCGAGGTTCCGGACGAGCAGCTGCCGCAGGAGGTGGTGGAGGTAGATCTGAGAGGTTCTCTCCACGACGCAGAAGGGAAAGAGCACCTCGGGCTGCTCCCTGCCACTGCGCGTGTACAGAGAGTCGTAGAGCACAGTGTCGTTGACGGCACCGAGGACCAGCGCGTCCAGCGGGTAGATGTTGATGTGGAAGGGCAGCATGATCCTCTGGGCCAGGAAGGAGTGCGGCTTGCGCTGGTCCCTGGGGAAGAGCGGGAGCCAGACCTTCATGCCCGCCCCGCCGCAGCTCAGCCACAGGGCCTCCAGGAGGTGACGCTTCTGCTTGTCGGCCCGGCACGTCGTCCAGACGTTCGTTCTCCACCGACTGGGCCAGCACCACGGGAAAGCAGAATGGCAGCTGGGGGAGGAGAGGCGACAGTCAGCCTTTCTGTTCCTTTACTGCGCGTGGAGCTTCTCAAATTCCTAGGGATTAGTTAATGACCTCTTTCAAGATGAAAGTTGAACAACTTTGGGGCAAAAGCAGGGACGGCTCTTTAGAGTTAGAATTAAGCACGGTACCTTTCCTCTCAAAGCATAAACAGGACAATCCCACACTCTGCCACCCGCTGTGTGTCCCTATTACAACTTCAGCTCACACCACCTCGGCAGTAACATCTGACACACGCAACCACTTACTCTCAACAGTTCCACCTTCATAATGTCTTATACTCGGAAGCTTAAAACCAGTTCCAAGTCCTTTTGCAGCTTCTAAGGCGCATGGCGGCAGTGCGCCCTGCACTCACCCAATGCCGTCTCCCCGTGTTCCGAACGCCGCACTCACCAGCTTCCTCTGGTTGGGGTGACTGTCCTTCTCCCGGATCTGGGGGCCTGACCTGTCCCTCTGCATCATGATGAGCTGTCCCGCAAGGTTTAGCATGATGCTCTCTGCGTCACGGGCCTAAAAGTTCAGAAAGAGAAACTGGTTTCATACTAAATCAGATATAGTTTTGGCATGTCTTTTATAAAGTTTACAGATGGAATCATGTTTAAGTGAGGCTGTACCATCCGTAGCCACGCTGCTGGGCCCTGCAGGGACGCAGGAGCTGCGCAGCGAGGGTGGAAGGGCGCTCAGCACGGTCTGCAGCCTGTGGCCAGTGCCTTCAGGTGACTGCGCGGGGGCTACATCATCTTACAACTGAAAGGAACTTCAACAGTCCACAAAATTAATCTCCCTAGTACAGGAAGAGAAGGTTTCCAGGATAAAGATGGAACCAGAAACACACAGGAGGAAGTGAAGGGCTTGGTGCTTTAGTTGAAGCTGCAATATAAATGAAGACGCAAGAGCTAGGGCATGAGAGCTGTACACGAAAAATGAGACTCATGGGAACAGAGCAGGAATATTTTGGGAACTAAGTGGATGGTATGTTGTAAGGAGGATTTGGAAAGTCAGGTAAAGTACAACAGGAAACATATTACTATGTATGTTCTCAAATAGGAAAGTTCTGGGTCTGGCGCGGTAGCCTAATAGCTGAAGTCTTCACCTTGCATGCGCTGACATCCTATATGGGCATCAGTTCATGTCCCAGCTGCTCCAGTTCCCATCCAGCTCCCTGCCTGTGCCCTGGGAAAGCAGTCGAGGACGGCCCAAAGCCTTGGAACCCTGCACCCGCGTGGGAGACCCGGAAGAGGCTCCTGGCTCCTGACTTTGAATCAGGTCAGCTCTGGCTGTTGTGGCCACTTGGAGAGTCAACCATCGGATGGAACATCTTCCTCTCTACAGATCTTGCCTTTCCCATAAATAAATAAATAAATAAATCTTAAAAAGGGGGGAGGGAGGTTCTTTTGGGAAAGAATTTTTAAAAATCTGAATTAGGATGGGTTGCTGGGGAGAGGCAGACTTCACGGGCGTTGAAAATTTCCACCTGCAAGGTTAGAGAAACTGACTTCCCATTGATTCCTTTCATCCAGCTTAAGCATAACACACAATTTGTGAGAAATATTGCTTTGGAGGAAATCTCAGATGTCAAGTATTTTTTTTACATGGAAGAAGTTAACAGCATCTTGATTTCAAGAAAAAAACAGAACGTGCTGCTCTTGTAGACACGGGTGATAGGAACAAAGTAAGGGGGCCTAGGTAAGACGCTAGAGGAGCTGGCGCCAGCACCGAGGGATGCCGCTTAGGAAGCAGCGTGGTGTCGTGGGGCCCTGGGCCATCCCACACTGAGGTGCCAGCTCTGGAGCCCAGTCCCTGCTCATGCCCAGGAGGGGGCAGAGGGGGCCTGCTTCCTAGCCCTGGCTGTGGTTCCTAGCCCTGGCTGTGGTTCCTAGCCCTGGCTGTGGTTCCTAGCCCTGGCTGTGGTTCCTAGCCCTGGCTGTGGTTCCTAGCCCTGGCTGTGGTGGGCATCTGAGGATTCGGGCAGCAGATAAAAGCTCCCTCTCTCTCTCAACTCTGCCTTTCAAATACAGAGGAATAGTCTAAAAAAGAAGAGAAATTTAAGAAAACTTTTCTTTTTCCTTCACTAAATTTGAAAGACTGAGCCCGAGCTGAACACGCCAGCAGGTAAGTGTGAGGCTGCGTTTCCTGGGACACAACCACAGGGGGCCCAAAAGAGCCAGGGGCATCATCGGGGCTTCTGGAGGCAGTAAGAAAACAGAGAGGCAGAGCATCCCACGAACCAAGGGAGGAAAGACTCCGACGGAAGAGACGCAGACTCCGCCCGGGCTCTGCTGCTCCGTGGCTGAGGAGCTGGGAACTGTCGCCACCCTTTGGGGCTCAGCCAGGGACACAGCGGGCACCCTATCTGCGAAACAGCCAGGCAGAGACTCTTCCTCCTTTCTGCTTCCAGTCTCTGGAAAGAGATTATATACGCGGAAATGGCAAACTAAAAACTCAGAAATCTGTAACACGTGAGAAATAACCAATAATTTGCAGGATTGAGAAAATACGGAATTTGAAATGTGTGTGGAAACGTAGGCACTCTGGTACCCGGAAAATGTGGCTAGGTGGCAGAGCAAAAAGAAGAGCGTGCAGACGCAGAACGGAGGCGGATGGCCGGGGCGTGGCCTGCTCAGTGCAGCCCAGCACGTGGGCCGTGACCGGCAGAGCCCCTCGGCCGGAACCACTCCATCTCACTCTGCTTCACCGACACGGCTTCCGGGAAGGGCGGCTGGAGCCAGACGCTCTCCCTCGGGAGGCGGTGTCACACACGGTCTAACCGCCACCCCGGGCACTGTCTTAACGCACTTCTTGATCTGCCCTTTGCCAAGGTACACAGGTCACCGTGCAAGGCCTCTCTGGGATGCAGTGTCAGTGACGGCAAGGGTTGCCCACTCCACCTGGAATACATGGACTCCCCCTCTGTCCCTAACATGAAGACTTCACCCGTGATGAAACGGAGAACAGCAACACAAAGCTGCATATTCCCTTCATCTGAATTCACAAATATCATGATTTTGTCACACCTGTGTCATCTGTGTGAGTTAATTTCACAAAGTATTTTTAAGCAAGTTATCATTCCCGCTTACCTCCATATATTTAATTTTATAATCAAATAGGAGTATTTATATAACTAATTATACAATACAGTTAGCTATGTAAGCATATGTAAATGTAACAGTAATTATATAAGTGTATGCTTATAAAACTTACTATGTTTAATCACATTCAATATATGGGCATACGCTTATACAACCTTGATGCTACCGCGCTAGGCCCGAGAAGCAGTTACCGTTGACCCTAACACATTCCACCCACACACTCTTTACCTTCTGCAAAGTAACTTTCCTTATCAAATGGGACTAACTGGTTACAGTGGCAGAACTTGCATAGAAACCGGGAACTGTATTTTGTTTTCTTGAATGAAAGAAGCTTCTAGAGTGTGCACCAGGAGGAAGCTGAAGACAGCGGTGCAAGCAGAAGCCAAGTTCTCCTTCCTAAAGGAGATGCGGGTTCCCGGATGTCACCGCGGCATGCCACAAACCACATGACTGTCCTATGCTTCAGGGTCCCAAGGCTCTGGGCCGTCCTCGACTGCTTTCCGGGCCACGAGCAGGGAGCTGGATGGGAAGTGGAGCTGCCACGATACGAACTGGTGCCCATACGAGATCCTGGCACATGCAAGGCGAGGACTTAAGCCACTAGGTTTTTGCGCTAGGTTCATCTGTAGGCTTTTGAATTACTGCTCCCTCTGCTTGATCTTCTCCCTCCTGACTCAGATCATCTCTAGTTTTTTTCTAGGTTTCAACTGAAGTGGTATAGAAATCTTTTGTTTCTGTACCAGCCAATGCAGCACAAGAACAAGTGAGGATATATTTAATTAGTTGTTGAAAAACCATGCACAAGTCACTTCTGCTTAGCCTGCCGTGGTAACTGCATTTCCCCACAAGCTGTATTAGATTGTCAGCATTGCGAGCCGAACGCGACTCCCATCAGCTTACAACATCACCAACAGAGAGGCCCAGGCGGCGCTGGCAGCGGAGTGGTACCTGCTGTGGTATTTTCAGCGCGAGTCCATTCTCCGTGCTCACTGACGTCAGGGTGACAGACACCACGAGGAAAGGGTGAGGGATGTAGCGTGACATGGAGACCTCCTGCAGAACCTGAATGCCAGCGGAAGTGTGCACACTGCAAAAACAAGAGACAGCACACAAGTGAAGGCTCCCGCTGCTCACAGGCTCACTCCTGATACGGACAGGATCAGCATCTTATGCTTTACGGACGATCTGCATCTCTGCTACCTACCGTCTCCTGCAGATGTTTCAGCCACAACTGGAGAGGGTGAGGAATCCAAAGAACACATATGGGACAAGAAAGGAAGAGTAAGACGTAGGAGAGAAGATTAAAACAAATAAAAAACCTAACGCAGCTGTCAAGAGTGGAGATATTTAACGGGAAAAAAAACCCTAGCTGATCCAGAGAGGACGAGGGTTCCATCACTAAAGCTGACACGTCTGAAGTGTTAACGCTGTGCTAGTTTCCAGTCACTGAGCTACTACAGCCACCGGGTACTTTATAACTGGTTCAACAAAAACAGACATACAAAAAAATATCAGAAGAAAGCAAGATTCAAGAGCTGCAGTCCAAACGATGCAAGCTGACCGGATGCCAAGAGTTCTCGGGCAACAGGTAGTAACAACAGGGTTTCGTTTCTCCCCCCTCCAGGACGGTGGAAATAAACCAAGCACAGCTTGCATTCTCCCCAGGTGCGAGGCCGCAGGGCGCCCTCCAGCCTCCCTGGTGACTCCCAAGACTAAGGCAGTCAGCACTCAGTCTGAAGTTGTGATAAAAATTCAGTCCCTGAGAGTTAAAAAACTAGGTTTTCTTTTTTTAAATTCAGTTAAGTAGCTGAAGGAGTTAGCATTTCCTTTTGTTCTGTCAGTTACTATGTAAAATAATAGTAATTAAAATTACTTGTTTTTTGACATCCAAAAAAGTATAAAGATATAGTAACTTTTTTGAAAGATTTATTTATTTTTATCGGAAAGGCAGATGTACAGAGAGGAGGAGAGATGGAGAGGAAGATCTTCCATCCGATGATTCACTCCCCAAGTGGCTGCAATGGGGGGTGCTGCACCGATCCGAAGCCAGGAGCCAGGAGCTTCCTCCATGTTTCCCACATGGGTGCAGGGTCCCAATGCTCTGGACTATCCTCAACTGCTTTCCCAGGCCACAAGTAGGGAGCTGGATGGGAAGCAGGCTGCCAGGACCAGAACCGGTGCCCACATGGATTCCCAGGCATGTTCGAGGCAAGGACCTTAACCACTACGCTATCGTACCGGGCCCAATATAGTAACTCTTGAGAAAACACAATCTAGAGAGGCAAAATTAGAGAGGAGCAAAAAAAATGACTTTTCCTATGCTACACGCATACTCACCCATCTGATTTTCTTTCAATACTGTAAAGGCATATTGAACAGTCTGCTCGAAACACTACGACCATGTCCCGGAAGACACTAAGCAGCAACGTCTCCACTTGTGTCTTGGTTACATGAGCAAAGGCGTTGTCCAGATTTGACGTTCGTAGGTATACTCTGAGCTGAACAAAACAAAAATCAAATCAGGAAACAAGAAGGCTGCCTGGATCAGTGAGCACTTCACACGGTGCCTTTTGTGAATCAACTTTTTCAAGTAGGAATTCAAAGACTTATTTGAAAGTTAACTCCAAACAGGTCACGGTTCTACTTGGGCACGCCAGGCCGAATGTACGTAATATAGTCACACACAAGCAAAGGCTGAAGCGATCAAAGCTGTGAATACATCATTCTGAGCGATTCCTATTAGAACTGCGTATCTAGACCTGGCCCAACAGGAGACCAGCAATTTCTCAGAATAACCTCATCAATCAACAATCCTACCTGTAAGAAGACTGTTGGCAACGCCCGCGTCGCCACGTACCCCGAGCTCCAAGTCGAGCGGAGGGACTAGGGTTATGAGACAGACAAGACAGACAACACACAACACACAGTGGGTCATTCGTGTGAGGAGAATGCCGAATGCTGTTTATTTGAAGTCAAGCTGCATCTTTTATAGTCTGCTTGGCCCCTCCCAGGATCCTCCCAATGGTTAAGCCACACCTAAGCTCCCCTAAGGACATGCAACAAGGGGAAACAAGAAGGAGGGAGATTGCTAAGCCACACCTAAGCTCCCCCAAGGACATGCAACAAGGGGAAGCAGGAAGGAAGGAGATTGCAGTCAAGCCACAGGCTAAATGTATCAGGCCATGATTGCCTTTCCTGTTACACCCTCGAGAAACAAGCTGTGCTGTGGAGTTAATCCTTGGGAGACTGGGGCCTACATCTCCCCCTTTTTTGTTTTTTAATGGACGCCTGTCTTAGGTTGTCCAGCAGTCAGTTGATGCCTTACCCGTCATGGGGAGCCCCACCCGGGGCACGTGGGATCCCTGTCTTAGGTTGGTCATCAGCTCTGCCAGATCTTACCCGTCTCTGGCTGCCCATTACACATCATGCTCAACTAGAATTGAGCTCTAGGATTTTCCACAGCTAAAGTCATCATAGTTCAAATGATGACCTGCTCCAGGGCTTGTTGCCTAGGTGGCAAAGAGGAGTAAACAGTACTGCAAACATGGCTGTAGCCATTAATCCCATGGCTAAGACTCCACTCCATTCCTATAACATCCCTGCTCTCAGTTGAATGCCATTTCACGGGGGTAACACTTATATGATGTTAAATTGAGGTAGTAGCTGAAGATCTGCATTTCCCATGGGCAGGATACCAGGAAGTTGCACCACTGCTGTCAGGGTGTCCTCCTCCCAATGGCTTTTATCCTGCAAGAACATCATTCGGAGTGGGATCATGCTGAGTTGGAGCCAGGGAGATTTGTCCTGTAAGTCTCTCGGGAACCCATCTCGGCGTTTCTTCATCCTGAGGAAAAACACAAATGGAGCCTCGCCCCCATGTTAGTACTGGGTCTGGTCCCCGCCATTTATTTGTGGCCAGATCTTTCCATTTTACTTGGCCTTTATTCTCATTAGCAGAGCGTAGCCAATGGCGCTCTGCAGGAACTACATCATTGGTGACAGTTAAAAAATTTAACACATAGATGGCGGATGCCAGTAGGGAATGGGGAGAGCTGCAGTGTTCGGCTACATCCCCTTTCTTTATTTTTTCTAGATAAACTTTAAGGGTGCGATTGGGAAAAACAACCGGATGTCTTTTGAAAAACTGCACTAAGGGATGGGAAGGATAATGATTAATTAACTGAGAAGAAACCGTGGCACAAAAGACAGACCAATCATCAATATTATTTTGTAGCCACGCCACCTGTTGGGAATCATAGGGAATGGAGATGAAATCAGGATATTTCCCAAAAATCTGCAGGCTGATCTTGCATGCCTTATACAACAAAGATATAACAGCAGTGGGATAGGATTGCACAATTTGTCCAGTGGATGCTGGGGAGTGGACCCAATATATAGGTCCAGTCTGCCAAAACACTGCTGTAGGCGCGTGATTGGAAGGAAAAACCAACAACCGCATTGGCGCCTTATAATCCACATAACTGACATGAGCATTCTGAATGGCATGCTGGACTAGCTGCAGACATTCCCTGCCTTCTTTGGACAGTTGTCTGGGTGAGGAAGGATCTGGATCACCTTTAAGAATATCAAAAAGGGGCTTGAGTTGCCCAGTAGAAATATGCAAAATTGGTCGGATCCAATTAATATCACCTAACAAACTCTGCAAATCATTCAAAGTTTTCACATCACTTAATCTGATGGTCAAATTCTGAGGGGTGACATCAGTTGGCAAAAGCTGATGGCCTAAATACTGATAAGGAAAATCTGTCTGAATTTTATCCGGGGCAACAACCAATCCGGCTGTGGCTAAAGCCTGATAAATACATTGTGCTGCTGAGGATAGGATGGAACGAGTTTCAGCCGCGATCAAAAGATCATCCATATAATGGATCAAATAGATATTTGGAAATTGTGATCTAATTCTTTTTAAGGCCTTATCCACATAGATCTGACAAATAGTAGAACTGTTCATCATCCCCTGAGGGAGGACAACCCAATGGAAACGCTGGGAAGGCGCTTTTAGATTGATGGACGGTAAGGTAAAGGCAAAACGCGGAGCATCTTCCAGGTGCAAGGGAATGGAGAAAAAGCAGTCTTTTAAATCTAACACAAGCATATGCCAATCTTTTGGTATTCCCACAGGAGATGGCAAACCAGGTTGCGTGGTCCCCATAGGGGCCATGACAGCATTTACTGCACGTAAATCTTGTAAAAGCCTCCAGTTGCCATTTTTCTTTTTAATAACGAAAATTGGGGTGTTCCAAGGAGAGGTGGATGGAACAATATGTCCAGCCTCAAGCTGCTCCTTTACCAATTCAATTGCAGCCTCTAATTTTTTGCTTGAAAGGGGCCATTGTTCAACCCAAACAGGTTCATCTGTTTTCCATGTTAATTTAATGGGCTCCTCTAACTGACGAGGCTGCTCTACAATGGCCCCTGCAAAAAATGTCCTAACCCTGTTCTATCCCCTGGGCTACGAACTTCAATCTCTTTATCACAGACTGGTTGGGGGTCACCTTGAAGATGTCTGCCCAAGCCCTTTCCAGGAAAGTATCCTTGTCTATTAAGCATATTTGGCACAGGCTGAGAGGTCAACACAACATTCATGACACTCAGCAAATCTCGTCCCCACAGGTTGATGGGAATATGTGGTAAAACATATGGCTGGAAAACTCCTGAATGACCCTCTTGATCCTTCCACCTTAACAACCTAGCACTTTTCTGTGGTTGAGAAGTTCCTATCCCTTGGAGAACGGTTGGGGTGGCCTCTAACGGCCAGGAGCTTGGCCACATTGCCTGGGATATAACTGTAGTATCTGCCCCAGTATCAAGTAATCCTGTGAATTTTCTCCCTTCTATCTCTAACTGCAAGGTAGGTCGGGTTTGCATGTCAGAGACCCAACATGCCAAGGGGCCGGAATCGCCAAAGCCTCCTTGTCTATCTCTTTTATGAATAGGGTTGTCTGTTGGAACCTTAGGGATCAAGATCAGCTGGGCAAATCTCGCTCCTGGTGGAATGATGATAGTGCCTTTGGCTGATTCTACCATGACTTCTATTTCTGCGGGGGTATCCTCATCTATCACTCCTGAGAGTACTCTGATTCCATGCATGGTAGCACTGCTTCTTCCTAGGATCAGGCCCAAGGTATTCTTAGGCAAGGGGCCCCTGACTCCTGTCTTTATTCGCTGGGGCCCCAGGAGTGGGGTCAATACCTCTCCGGAGGCGGCACAGAGGTCCAGTCCTGCGCTACCTGGTGTTGCTCTGAGGAGAGTTGAAATGTCTGCATTCCTTGCCGTGGGAGCGGGACTCTGGAAGTTGGTGCTGTTCCAAAAGCTGCAGGTGTCTGCTGGGCTCCGTACACCTGAGGTTGGGGGGCCCGGAGCGGGCCCCTGACCCCGTTTCCCGATAAGGGATTGCCTTGGGCATCATACCTGGACCTAAAATTGCTGTCCCAACGATAGCCTTTATGGCATCTCCGACAGATCTGGGGCCAGCAAGGATTGTGGGGGTCGCCTTCCTTGCCGTGGAATTTTAGGACACTGTTTTTTTAAAATGTCCAGGCTGTCCGCATCCGAAACAGGCTTTAGGACGCACCCTAGGGTGGGGTTGAGGGTGTTGAACAGCAGCTGCTATCACTTGCCCAAGGGCATGGGTGGAATCAATATGTCTGCAAATTTTAAGGTAATCATGCAGAGACTTATCTCTATGGGACCGAAGAGCATCCTGGCAATATTTATTAGCATTCTCAAAAGCTATATGTTTAATTACTGGCATAGCTGGTTCTAGGTTACCAAAGATCTTAGTAGCAACCTGCATAATACGGTCCACAAATTCTTGAAAAGGTTCTGCAGGGCCTTGCAAGACCTTAGAAAGCTGGTCTCCTGTATTAGCGTTAGGTAAAGCCTTCCAGGCTCCAAGGGCTGCATTTGTTATCTGTGCATAAACTCCTAAATCATAATTAACTTGTTGTTGGATGCCCTCAAAAGGTCCAGTGCCAGTAAGCATTTCAAGGCTTCGATCTGCATGTCCCACAGCTGCATTCTGCTCAGCAAAAATTCTGCACCTATCCTGAAAGTCCCCTCTCCATAGGAGAAAGTCACCGCCATCCAGAGAGGAACGGCATAATTGCATCCAATCACTAGGAGTAAGATTCAAGCTTGAAAAGGACTCTACCAGTGCCAGAGTAAAGGGTGCCTGGGCACCATAATCTTTAACAGCCTGCTTTATATTTTTGAGGTCTTTAAATTGAAGGGGATGATGCTCCCGGCGAGGGGGACCCCCTCGAACTGGGACCTCTATTACTGGGAAACATCGAACCCCGCCCACTGGCTGATCAGTGGGGCTATCACTCCAGGGCCGCATGGGATACTTATTGGGTGAATGACCCACAGCTTCCTCCTCAGGAGGAGCGGTAGGGGTCACAAAATTAGGGGCATATGGTGGTTGCCGTGAATTGGATAATTTGCCAGAGAAATGTTTATCTATTCCCGCCTTCTTTAATTTTCTTTTAATGTCCCTAATTTCTTGCTTTAAGAAAATCTTCTCCTCATCTCTTTTGTTCTCACTCACTACTGAAGAAGAGGCCTCATTCTCTTCTGAAGAAGAGGCTTCATTCTCCCAAGAGCCCGCTTCACTCTCCTCTAAAGAAGAGGTCTCACTCAGGGTGGCCTCACTCGAGGTCTCATTCGAGGCCTCACTTGAGGCTTCCACAGACCACAGAACCTCCCTTTCCTGGATTTCTTCAAAAGTAGTCTGCACTTCTTTTAACTGTTTTTTAATTTTCACCTTATCACTAGATAAAGAATCACGGACTAAGCGCCACAAAGAAAAGTTGGTAATAGGGAAATCTGGGTCCTTTTGTAAGCAGGATTGTAAATTAGCCTTAACCTGTTCCCAATCAGGGATACTCAGGCTCCCTGAAACAATAAACCAAGGACTACTGGATCGAACGGCTTTAACAAAATTTCTAATCATCCTAGTTTTAACTGGCTTCCCCAGTTGATGTAAAAGTTCTTCAAGCTCAGCAGCCAATTTGTCCTTGGAGAAGGCAGAACCCATCTTTTTCGCAGGGTAAATAAAACACCAAGATCCAACAATACTTCAAAATAAGGCTACAACTTAACTGTATTTCACAACAAATCTTAAACCAAACTGTGTTTCAAAATAAGACTAAAACCTACTATATTTCACAATAAATCTTAAACCAAACTGTATTTCAAAAGAAAACTCCCTCTCCTACCAGTTTAGGAAAGTCTTACAATACGTCCCACTTACCTGCTGGCCAGCTTCCCGGGACGACCCTTCGTCATGTATCCTCTCTTTCTCGATCTCGGTGGAACCTCCAGATGTTGGCAACGCCCGCGTCGCCACGTACCCCGAGCTCCAAGTCGAGCGGAGGGACTAGGGTTATGAGACAGACAAGACAGACAACACACAACACACAGTGGGTCATTCATGTGAGGAGAATGCCGAATGCCGTTTATTTGAAGTCAAGCTGCATCTTTTATAGTCTGCTTGGCCCCTCCCAGGATCCTCCCAATGGTTAAGCCACACCTAAGCTCCCCTAAGGACATGCAACAAGGGGAAACAAGAAGGAGGGAGATTGCTAAGCCACACCTAAGCTCCCCCAAGGACATGCAACAAGGGGAAGCAGGAAGGAAGGAGATTGCAGTCAAGCCACAGGCTAAATGTATCAGGCCATGATTGCCTTTCCTGTTACACCCTCGAGAAACAAGCTGTGCTGTGGAGTTAATCCTTGGGAGACTGGGGCCTACAGAAGACGGCTCTCCTTCAAAGCCCACGATGGCAGGCAGTGGGCAGATCAGGCCGCGCCTAGCAACCCACGGCCTGGAGTCTGGAGGGAGGGACACATGCACAGCGTCTCAGGTGGGTGGGAGCAAGCCCATTCCCTGAGCCATCACTGCCGCCTTCCGGGCTCTGCGAGGCAGGAAGTCAGAGCCAGCAGGTGGAGCCGGGAATAAAACACAGGTACTCTGGGTCCTATGCTGTGGCCTGGCGAGTTACACCTCCACAGTGAGCATCCTACAGGGTGCGAGTCCTGGCTGCTCCACTTCTGATCCAGCTCCCTGCTACCGTGCCTGTGAAGCAGTGGGGCATGGCCCAGGCAGCAGGGCCCCTGTACCCATATGGGAGGTCAGGTAGAAGCTCCGGGCTCCTGCCTTTTGTCCAGCCCAACTTTGGCCACTGAGGCCTTTGGGGGGGAAGAGTACTGTAGCAAACGGAAGATCTTGTTCTGTCTCTCCTTCTCTCTGTTAATACCGCATTTCAATCAAAAATAAATTCTACAAAAGCCCGCAAGAGTCAGTCTTACAAACTTTTCAAGTATTTTAAAATTATTGTTAAGCTCCAGAGAGAATATTTAAGACAAAACATATGGAGAAGGTTATCTTAAAAATCCCAATTGCCATCCAGAACAGTATATTCTGAATAGACAATCCTATTAGCCAAAACATGCTAAATGTGATGAAAAAAAAAAGTCTACAAGAAAATTTTTTAAAAAGATTTAATTTATTTGAAAGACAGCTGGAAAGACAGAGAAATCTCCCAATTTGCTTGTTCACTGCCCAGAGGACCTCCATAGCCAGCACTAGACCCACCAAAGCCAGGAGCCAGGAGCATCCTCCAGGTCTCCCACGTGAGTGGCGGGGTCCTAACACTGGGACCATCCCCTAATGCTTTCCTCAGGCAGCTGCAGGGCGCCAGATCGAAGAGTAGCAGCCGGGACCCACACCAACACCCCTGGGGTGCTGCAGGCTTTACCCAATGACTCCACAATGCTGGGCCCCAACACAATATTTAGTACATAAAATTCATTAAAAAGTTCTCAGTAGCTTTAAAATATAAAAACCTATTACTTCTGAGAAAACAAAAAGAAGAAACCAACCCTTACCTCTTCTTGATGGTCACTTATGTTGTAACACGCGAGGACCATAAAATCATTCCACCAGGCTAAGCCGCCTGTCACAATCATATTTTGTTCCTTAAAAGGAGATTTTAAAAACGTGTTACCAGCAATTAGAAGAAAGTGCTACATCTATAAAACATCCTTAGACATACAGTAAAAGCTCATGTTATTTTTTTCATTATTTTCTACCCATTTATTGCTTCAGGCTCTTTATCCCAGTATTTCTGCAATGAAGCACACAGATCTTACAAAGTGACTGGGTACCATATGCCTCACTACTCCCATACCCAAAAGACCTGGGCTTAAATTCTAACTTTGTCATGTATGAGATGGTGGACTCTGAATCCTGAGTAAAAACGCTGTCACCTGTTGGTGTTAGGTAACGGCCGACATCAGAGCAGCCTACCGCACTTGGTAAACGCCAGCCGTCCGTTACACACCTGAGTGCTTTTCTTTCCTCCCATTTGATTCTTGTCAAAGCTAACCGTGTGTGCACACGCATGTGCGCTGTCCACATGTGTGTATCAAGGGCAGACAAGCTAGGCGTGATACTAAGCTTGGACAAACTTACTCTGATCCTAAATAATGAGCGCAATCCAGAGAGTAAAATTAAATCCTCAAATAAATTATTCTTCCTGACGTCAGCATGAGTTAAGAGCTATTTCAATACAACATCTTTTATCAGAAATTATCAAATACTGTATCAACTCAAATATTATTCAATATAAATTTGGTTTTGTTTACTTTATTTTCCACATTGTATTTTTCTTCCATTTTGAGCCACAGGTTTTTAATTTCCAAAACACTAACCTGAGTAATGTTCCCAAAAAGTTTCCATTTTTTGGTGAGCAAGGAGTAATGTGCGAAGCCAAACTTGCCAACGACAGCAACATTCTGTCCAAGTTTATCAATAGCTGAAAACTGTCAAATATACATATATATCAGAACTTTCTTTAAAAAACTTGTTTGTGCAAGCCTATTTTATGAGTATTACATTTATTAGCATTATGTTAGATAATTAATTGTTGACTAAGTAAATATAAAGTGCCAAGTTAAAAATCCATTTACACAGTTAAGTTTGACAATGCTACAAATATGAACAAACTAGCAATGCGCAACGGGTCAAGCATTAACGCAGTAATCTGTTCCCTGGAGGCTTCGATCCTTGCGTGCCTCTGAAGCACATACCAGCCAAGCAAAGGTAACAACAAAACTGCGACTCACCCGGATCGGCCAATTGCTCTCTAGGTAGGTGCTGGAAATCTACAGAAAACCACAGCAGGTAAGACTTCTCAGATTATTGAAGCTTTCAGCATGAACTTATCAGCAAACGAGATTTTCATCTTTCTGTATAATATCTAAGGTGTTTCAAGTAATGGAAATTAGAAGCAGAGCACTGGACATTTCTTTGTATATGCGAGCCAGGATTTCACATCTTACATCTCAGACATCACCTTTCTTGGTCTTCCTCCATCCGTGTGTTTGCTCATTTGCTTTAAATCCTGAACTGAGGAAGCACTGACTGGTGTCGTCAGGGACGCACCCTGTTTGAGGTCAGCTAGGAGTTCTGCATACGATTCTGGGTTGCTGAGAAGAACCCTGGGACAACCACAGCTCATAAAATTACACCCTCAGCAACAGTTTGGCTTTTAATGAAATACATTTATTACCTTTGTACCGTTTGGATTAAAAAAGAGCAATACTTTAAAAATTTACCAATATAAAAATCTGCCAGAAAAAAAAAATGTGCCAGCTTTTACTGTCACTAAACAAACATCCATGCAGGGGTAATTTAAGCCATGATTTTTCTGTTTGGTGTTAAATTTACTCATCTAAGAATGCTCAACGTATTTCAGATAATAAAACCTGGACAGCAAGTAATACATACATTTTCTCATCGCGTGTGTCCCACACCTTGTGTGTGGTGCCACGTGTCAGGCATCTTCATGTGTGGCATGACCGTATCAGGCAAGCACAACTTTTAAATGTAAAAAGATGCTTCAGGATGATCAATGTAGGCTAGTAAACCACAGCTCCATCAAGACTGTGCTTCTTTCCTCTCGGTCTGCTGCTCAGTTCTCCTGAGCGCGTGGTGGGGACGGGGTGAGAACTAATAAACCCACGGGAAAGTCTTCTTTCCCAGAATAAGAAAAGCTTTAGCTTATTCAAATTTATTTTCATTTTACCAAAACATTAAAAAAAATAAAATAAAGGATAGCCAAATTAAAAGCCAGGTAAGGTGCAATCAAAATCAGTAAGGTTGTTACATTAAAACAAATCAAGTAACAACAACGTCAAAAATCTGTATTAAATCTTAAGAAATGTATTCATATATATGTTCATATATGCATTATATAGATTATATATTATTCAAACAAATTTAAGAAATGTAAAGACTGAGTAATAAAATTATAAAATAAAGTCCAACACTTGATTTGGGGCCTGGGTCCAAAGTCAGGTAAATTTAGTGTGAGCCCAACTGGACTACTCGGTCAGCTTTTGAAGATACTCCTCGACATCTGTCACTTTCCATGACATTAAATAAACTTTTTCCTATACAAATCTGTGGGAATAGATCCACATAAGATAGCCCGTCATCGTTAATGAGTGGGAAAAAACCTTCCAGTTGTTGACACTACTGATGAACATAACGAGACAGCAGTATAGTCAATGGAAAAAACAATGAAAAAGAGGCCAAGAACACAGAGACGCTGAGGAGAAGCACGGCAGCTTTTAGTCCTCAAATTTGTGGGAGTACAGTTCTTTGTAGTAACTTCTAATTATTTTCTTAATGATTGCAGTGTCTGTTGTTATGTTGCCTTTGTCATCTTTAATGCTATTGATTCTCACTTTCTCTTGTTTTTTTTTTTTTGGTCAATCGGGCCAGTGGAGTGTCTATTTTGTTTATTTTCTCAAAAAACCAACTTTTTGATTTGTTGATTTTATGTATAGTTTTTTTGATTTCTATTTGGTTTATCTCCTCCCTTGTTTTGATGATTTCTTGTTTCCTATTGTGCGTGGGACTCTTCTGCTGCTGTTTTTCCAGATCCTGGAGGTGTGTGGTTAGTTCCTGTATTTGGCGTCTTTCTTGGGCCTTGACATGGGCTCCGATTGCGATGAATCTACCTCGTAGCACTGCTTTGGCGGTGTCCCACAAGTTTTGGAATGTTGTATCAGAGTTTTCATTGGTTTCCATAAATTTTTTGATCTCATCTTTAATTTCTTCTCTGACCCATTGTTCGTTTAATAGCATACTGTTCAGTTTCCAAGAGTGCCTATATTTCCTGGGGAGTTTTGAGTTGTGGATTTCCAGTTTCATCCCATGGTGGTCTGAGAGGGTACATGGTATGATACTAATGTTTTGGAAGTTATCTAGATTCGCTTTATGTCCTATCATGTGGTCGATTCTGGAGAAGGTGCCATGCACCGCTGAGAAGAATGTATAGTCTGTGGCCTTAGGATAAAAAGTTCTATATATGTCTACTAAGTCCAGTTGTTCTATTGTTTGTGTGAGCTCTGTTGTTTCTTTGTTGAGTTTTTGTTTCGTAGACCGGTCCATTGGTGTTGGGGGCGTGTTGAGATCGCCTGCAAGAATTGTGCGGGTATCTATGTCTTCCCTTAAGTCTGTAAGTAATTGCTTTACGTAACTAGGTGCATTAAGATTCGCCCAACTACCTGCAGATGATCAACTACATAGTGGGCAGACTGGAGGAAAGGATTAACCCCTCTAACAAGATGTTGCTCTTCTTGGGCGGGCCTGCAATGAAATGTATTGCCACCTTCCAGTAAGTACTAATCCAGTCTGTACGTGGATAAGCTGTGGAAGGGCATAGTCACTTGCAGTATCTAGGACAGAGAGAAGGTTTCTCCCAGACTACTTTGAAAGGAAAACATTGGCCCTAGTCATGTAACAAGGCGATGACTGACATTTTGACTCTAACAAGAACTCATTGAACATGTCTTAATTCTGAATCTGTATGAAAAAATAAACATTGTGGCTCTTATTCACAAATGGTATTCTTGTCTCTGGGCCAACATATTCATCCACCTGTAAATAATCTTTAGGGTAATTTAGTTAGAATCCTGCTACTTGTTACATTTGAATAGAACAGGAAGCTATAAAAGTCCTCTGTAAATTAACACCTTTTTCAACTTGTGGAGACTGAGGCTTCCAGCAGCTAAATGACTTTCCCAGGATCTCATAGCTTGCATCCCAAGGTCATGATTCAGTGCTGACTTTCTACACCAGCTTCTCTTTAATGTATGACGCACTTCCCATCACTGTGATATTGCTGTACAGATGGAATCCTTCCAGACACCAGAAATGAGGAAGGCGGTATGTAAGCCACTGCCTTCTGGTGTGTTTATACATGCGCTGATAGTTTTAATGTAGTGTGGGCATTTCATGTATTCATTTTTTCTCCTGTTTTCTGGTTGTAGTTACTCAGGAATAAGATGTAGTTATTCAGGAATAATAAAACTTTCATCAATGGTGTTTTGCCATTATATACATTTTTCATTTTTATGTTGTAATTAAAATGTAAATTTCTGAAAATAACGCTTTCCAACAATTGCCCTTGTAAGAACAAATATGTCATGAGACCCTTTGCTCCTAGCTGCTGACCAGCCTCCTGCTGGCTCCCACCTGAGTGCAGAGGACTCCTCTGTGCTGGTCATGCTCTGCTCTTCATCTGAAGACTGGTTATGAGTGTGCTCAGGGGACAAATGTTTGCTTTTCTGTACTTTTATGTGCATTTCTTTGGTATGCATACTGTATATCAGTAACAAGCTATAAAATGGCCTTGAAGAGTGAAGTCATTCTAAAATAAAGTCCCCTAATCTCCATGCATGTTTTGTTTATAATTAAGGAAGCTCTAGATGACGTTTTCACCTTTATCTCCTTTCTAGACTATCAGCTGGAAGTCACAGTACTCTCAAGTTTTCATATATGGAAGTCACTCTACTGAGTGCCAAGGAGATGGCTCCACCCATAACCTGAGAGGGGCCAGGGCCTGCAACCCATGTAGGAGTATTTTATAGAGTGTGTCTGCTGCTCAAACTGCTCATCATGTGGGCCATGTTTCTAGCCCGTGTCATTTCTTGCAATGTTTCCAACTCATGCTTTAATCTTGATGAGTCCATCTATATGATAAGATTTGAAAATATCAGCTGCATAGGTTAATATGAATTGAGTTATTAATTACATGATCTACTTCGTGCTGTTGAATTTGATTAGGAACATGGACATATCCCAAGAGGAGGATCAACCCAGAAACATTCTGCTTCATGTCTTTACTGTAGACATCAAGAACCTTGCATCAGTAAGTGAACTTCCAGTTCTACCTGGAGTTGTTGGTTGGGTTAATCATATTTCCAAGCTGGCCAGTAAAGCTTTCTTTTAGATATGTTCAGGTAAAGCAACATTGTCTGCTATTTCCACTTTCCCTAACTAATGCATGATTTATTTTTAAACATCTTTTTACTTTCAAAGAAGTAAATCTCTGTGAAGTTTTTTACTTGTCCAAAATGAAAAGAAAGAGGATGTTGAAAAAATACATATATCCTTACAATATTTTTCCTTTTTTTGAAGATTGATTTATTTTTATTGGAAAGGCAGATATACAGAGAGGAAGATCTTGTGTCTGATGGTTCATTCCCCAAGCAGCCGCAGCTGAGCCAATCCGAAGGAAGGAGCCAGGAGTTTTTCTGGGTCTCCCACTCGGGTGCAGGGTCCCAAGGCTTTGGGCCGTTCTCAACTGCTTTCCCAGGCCACAAGCAGGGAGCAGGATGGGAAGCGGGGCTGCCGGGATTAGAACCAGCGCCCAAATGGGATCCCGGCAGATGCAAGGTGAGGACTTTAGCCACTATGCTATTGTGCCAGGCCCCACAATAATTTTCTATTTTCTGTTTTCTGTATGCCATGCAAACCTGCTGATTTAAAAACCAAAGAAAGTATAAAATGATTATGAACATTTTTAAAAGTTTCTTTTTAAATTTTGTAAAACGATATTGGTAGAGTTTTAAAGGTCTATGTAAGGACTTTCAGACATCCATCAAAAAGGTGAGCATTTTCAATGAACCCTAAAGCCTACTGTTTGCACCTTCCAAAATATTTTATGTTAATGAACTCTTTTTATTCCTAATTTTTGAGATGCAAGTCCTATAAATGTGAAAGTCTGCTTATGTTTCTTAATATTTCTTTAAGCTTTTATTTTCTCAAACCATGCAGACCTCATTACAGATTACTCTGATGTTATGAAACT